AAGGTTGTAAATACATTAAAACTGGCATTCAAAAAGGGATGATGCCGGCGGTCGAGACCCTGAGTAAGGCTAATTTAGAGGATTTAGACTTAAGATTTCCCCAGGGCTCTGAGACTAGTATAAAAAACTAAGTAAAAAGCTTGATTTTTCGGTTAAATTCAATCATACGTGGAAGCCCAGAACACCGGCACTTTCTCCCAACTTTCGTGCTGCGTTCACAGTTATACGATCGCTCTCAAGTACAAAAGAAAATGAATTGCAACAGAAAGTATGTTAATTTTTTCCCATGGGTAAGATTTTCAGCGACATAAATCATAGAACAAAGTAGGCTGGACAAAAATAAGGATAGCGCATCAACATAGAAAACTGGTAAAAGAAATTTTCAGACAAACGGGTGCCAATGAAGAAGGATAGTATGAAAATTCCTTTAAAAATTGACGTGAATCCCAGTATTGCGTTAGTTATCATGATTTATTTTAAGGGCTTTGTGAAATTAAACAGTGATCACATGACTGTTTAAAAAGACAAAGCTTTAAAGTAGTCTAAAATTAGGGCCTCCGCTTAGATGAGGTATTACCATGAATATACATCCCCTTTTTCCCTTCACTTTAAAATCGATATCAAATACAATTCACTGTGATTCTACTAAAATATGTCAAAATATTTAGACTTTAAGGTCTAGCTGACACTGCAAAATTTTTATTTTTCCACCTCGTTTTCATAATTGATATCTTTTACAAGGATACTTCTAAAAAAATGCATTATAATATACCCTCATACATTGTTTTTTTGTGCTTTCCACTATCTAACATGATAAATGGGTACATTCTGAGACATTTTTCCGACAGTAGTCAGCCTCATCAGCACCACCCTTACCAGCAAATTGGAACCCACTTAAGTGAAATGTAAAGTCAATCCCATTGGCGAAAAATTATCCCATGTATCTTCTATTTTCTTGGCACAGCTCAATGAAAATTCCATTAGTCATTAGAAAAACGATTATTTTAAAGGTATGTGTCATAATAATTCTAAATAATATGAGTGAAATCCATTCAGTGAGTGGGAAGATATTTGAAGTCCCCCCACAAAGTATTGAACCGAGAAGTTAAGCAAAATCCAAGGATAATTGATAATAAGATAAAGCTTTAAATTTTAGTGTAAAAAGAATTGTATTGATTATATCAGCATAGTCAGACCATCATCTAACTTTAGTAAAATTGTTATAACTGGAGAAAGGAGACCATTTAACACTCTTGAAAACACTCCATAGAATAAGCATAAATACGAGAGACACCATCGGTGCAAAGAAAACATTTCACTCTGAAATTCGTCGTAAGAAAGCTAAGTACCGAAATAGTTATTAGAGAAAAAGTAAAGTTGAGCTATCGATTTACGAGGTCCAAATGTTCATAGTTTATGCTTTTGAGAACTGTAATTAAGAATTAAATGTAAGGATCAATTTCACGAGATTGCAATTAGCGAGAGGCCACATAACTATATTGAATAAATTGTTATGATTTCTGAATATAGTTCTTAATTAACTAAAGATGGACAGATAGTGAATGGTGGTGCTATATGTGCAATCAAGAGGACATAAAATTGATTAAAAACTCCTAATTATCAAATCTATAAACCTACCATAAGGATAAAAACAGCGAAATTATGGTATCACTTGTTCGAGATTAGGTACATTAACAATATCAAAAGGACAACATGGTATGACTAACCTTATTTTTTATAATTTAACATCTATAATATGTAAGAACCTAGAAAAATTGAGAAACACGATGTCAATAAAATGAGTAGACTAAAAAACGTCATGATAGTTAGCAATTAAAGGTAAAAAACAAAATTTATACTTAGGTCATAAGCCTATTTGCATTAATATAATTATAAGCGATTTATGGGCTGAAAAACCTGATGACTCCGCTTTGCCTCCGCTTCGTCTCTAAGCTTCTCAGTAGCGGAAGCATAGAGTGAGGATGAGGATGTCGCTTGTTGTCTAATCATGCCTCGGCTAGGCATAAAGCTGGAAGAAGTCACTGTTAAAGTCGTTGTAGTAGTAGTAGAGCTGAAAGTCAGGGAAACTCCACCAGAGTGTGATTGTGACGAATTTACGGAAATAGCTAGAGGGCGGGAACCGTCTCCAAGAGCAGGAATTTGGTCTACTGCGTACCAGTGTTCGGGCAAAGGAGTTGAAAGAAGCTCTTCAATACGTCTGCATGGAGTGGATACATACATTGATAAATGTGTAAAATTAAAATTCATATAGCGGTAGTAACTATAAGTTGTAGAGAGATACAAATTTATTTGTGGAGGACTCGAGGCACTTAAAAAGAGGTAAGTATAAAATAACCTAAAAAGATTTCGCACATTGGATACATATGCATTAGGAATGTATTTAATACATTTCCAAACACCATAAAGGTGATGTAAATTTTTTTTACCACCAGGACAAACATGAAGTTGAAAAGGTTATTTATGTTGAACCCAGAAATCCTTTCAAATATTCTGACATCTTATACT